CAAGATTTGGTGCCACTACAGGACTTTGGTTGCAACCATGTTCTATATGGTCCCAGTTCAAATCAATAACATGACACCCAGCTGAGATGAGTCCCATTGTGTAGGTGCTGTACATGCATATAGAGACAGTCCCTGCCCCTTAACTATTTCAATAGGATCTTTGAGTTACCTTATGCTCTTTGAAAATCCCACCCATAACAGGCAAGACAGAGAAAAGGTGGATACAAGGAAGTATGTTCCCCTTTTCAGAGATGGTGAAACTGAGATGCAGAAAAATTAAGTGACTTTCCCAAGGTCACACAGGGAGATGGTGGTGGAGCTGGGGAACAAACCCAGGTTTCCTAGATCTCAGTCCAGTCTTAATCACAAGACCATGCTTCCTCGCTAAGGAGTTTTTGAAACTCCAGTAGCACATGCCCACAGTGAACATAGATTGCGAATAATAAACGGGCAAACGTAGGGCAATGTCTAGGGCAGCTGTCACGGAACACGTGTGCTTCGAGTAGGGCCTGTGCCGTTCAGGGATAGAGGCTCCTGAGCCGTGGCGGGGAAAGGAGAGAGGTGCAGAATGCCATTCCGCTTAACTAAATATGGGGAGCCGACCGGGAGGTCACCTCATTGTCCATGCCCTGTGAAAGCCTACAAGACATTAGATTATGGATTAGAAACCCTAGACTGCGAAATGTACTCACATTTCAAATCCCCGCTCAGTTGTGTAAAGGTAACAAGCGCCAGCTCAAGGGACTTAGGACCTGATCTCACAAGGCACTTCAGCACAGGCTTAACTTTACCACCAGCACAATTGGAGCCACTGGGACTACTCCCAGTCTCTAAGGTGCCACAAGTACTCCTGTTCTTTTTGCGGATACAGACTAACACAGCTGCTACTCTGAAACCTGGGACTACTCCGATGCTGAAGTGCTTTTTCAGCCTGGGGCTTAGGGGTTATTACTGACACAGCGCTTATGGCAGAAAACACGAGTTACTCTTTTTTAGAATGAGTTTTCTGCTAATCTGTTTATCTCTGCAGCCCTCTCGTTCGGCTCACAATTTCCATGAGGGGGTGGGGAAAGAGAGTTTATTTCTTGCTGCTATCACAATGTGTTGCGAGTGCCTGAGATGAAAGGCCCAGTTTTGCCTGACTGGTCTTTTTCGCTACTGAAATGAGGGAGCTAGGCCGTGATGGCAAGAGCTGAGTGACAGAACGAGAGAGAGAGGGGAGCTGTGGGCACTAACACCTCCACGAGAGAGACTAAATATGCTAATAAGTGATGATGAACCATTCTTTCTCAGAAACTGGTTGTTTCCATGAAGGTCACAGAGTTTGAAGAGAGTGAGGGGGGCGTCAGAAGCAGCGTCTGCCTTAGCAGGCACCCTATCTGAAACCCAGGCCAGGTCTACACTAGACTTACATCGGTATAACTGTGTGGCTCAAGGGTGTGAAAAATCCACACCCCTGAACGACATGGTTATACCAACCTGGCGGCCTAGGGCTGCCAATTTTGATTGGACATATTCCTGGAAGTTTCATTACATGACATAATCTTTAATGAAAGATTCATCTTTAATGCCTGGAGACTCCAGGACAACCCTGGAGGGTTGGCAATCCTAACCTGGCCCCTGGTGTAGACAGCGCTGTGTTGACAGAAGCGCTCCCGTTGGTGTAATCGTGTCTTCACTAAAGCACTACAGCAGCACTGCACATGAAGATAAGCCCACAAACACACATTGCATTAGCCCGTAGGTATGTCTACACCGCACACGAAGGTACGATTGGTCACACAGTTATGCCTACCCGTGCCAGTTTTAATCTAGCTAAGGAGGACAATAGTAGTGCAGATGTGGCGGCATGGATTTCAGCTCATGACAGTTTCTGGGTATGTACCCAGGGTCCCCAACAGGCTTGTATTGGGGTGGTTAGCCCACACTGAATCCTGTACGGCTCCATCTTCACTCGTCTTGTTACCCGCACTAGCTAGATTAAATCTACCATGCGTCTGCCTAACCGCACTGCATGAACTTGCCGTGTAAATGTGCCCTTAGTCTAAATGTGGGTTTAGATCCCTGACTTTGAAACTCAGGTTCTGTATTTCTGGCTAGTGCGAGAGGATCATTCGCCTGTGGCCATAGCCCAGAGTAGACTCTCCTCTATAAGAGCCAGGCAGGTTTTCTGCTGAGTTTATTGGGTCTGTTGCTGCTACTGTTCAAAGTCTTCTCCAGCCATCTTCTGAAAATCCAGTGGCATCACCAACTCCCTGTTACCCTGCACCTGGTGCAGCCATTTACAGTGCAAAATGGTTGTAAAACGACCATCTCTGGATGAGAGTTTAGCCCACGCCGATCTATGAGTCCTAGATTCATAGCAAGTGAGGACAGAGCCGACCTGTTAGGTCACTTGTGGTTCATTGTGCAAGAGTCCGTGTAGGATGGTTTCCTGGTCCATTCTGCAGGGCTGAATCCGGTCTAGGTTTAAATGCCCCAGTTGATGGGGTTTCTGCTACTTCGCTTGGGCGGCTGTTCCATAGCCAAATACATCCCATGGTCTGGAAGCGTTTTCTTTGATGCTCAGCCTGAAGTTTCCTGTTCCTAATTCCATCTCTTTACTTCTGCATAGGTTGTACAGCTGAACACAAATGCCTCTTTTTTTCCTCCTGCTGCAGAATCTTCCCTGATCTGGCTTGAGATCTGTCCCCTGGTGCAATGAGACGATGAATGAATACGTGGGGGGGAAATAGCCTAAAGCACTCATGCCTACCTCCATGCCCCCTGAAATTAATGGGCATTTTGCCAGTGACTTAATGGGAGCAGAGAGGGGCCAATGCTAAGCATTTTTTAACATCCTACCTTGTCTCCAGAAGGAGTGAGGAGCTCTCAGCTGGGACCCACCTCCCCACTGCTAGGCTGGTAGGGACCATGATGAGATGGTCTCATCTGGGCATCGCTGCTCCCATGTTAATCTAGGAGAGGAACCAGGCTGAGCTGGAAGTCTCTCTGTGCAGGTCTTCTGGTGCGTTTGAAAAACAGAGTGGTTGAAGAGCATGTACAGAAAACAGCCAAAGGACCTGGAGGGGTGCACTGGACCCCATGTCTGAACTAGTTCCCTGCCCTGGATATTTTTTGATTTATTTAGCATGGTTGTGAGTTTTGCTGTTACGGGGACTTCCAAGGGGGGATTTTCTATTAGTATTTTGAGAGATGAAACTTTAGGAAAATACCCAGAACCAAGAACAGCCACAAGACTCTTTTTTTGCGTGAACATGCCCATGAAACTCCAGAGTTCAAGGGGCTGTTTGGCTTATTTCCACTCCGCTCCTGCCAGCCACTTCATCTCTCCCCAATGCTTTGGAAAGCTTGGCTCCCAGCAGTGGTGTTAGCGAGATAGGGCGATGGGCTCTCGTGCCCACTACACTTAGAATGGGACTCACTCAACAAGCCGGTGAGGGAAAGCCAGGTAGGAAGAAGTTGTCTCCTTAGTCAGTCCTTTCTGGCTTGTCAGCTGCCCTGGGGGGGTGGGGGGTTTAAGCAGTTTTTCTTGGGACTGGAAATCAAGTAACACTGAAAACTCCTAAAACTCCTAAAACAGGGGCTCTTTAAAGGAAAGTTATGTAGATGAGCTATCCAAAAACGGTTAGTTGAGTCACTTTTGTTTTCAGTTCCGTATCACTCTCTAAAGCGAAAACCAGACCACTGTGGGGTTGTGATGTTGTCACTCAGAGGTTAAGTGTGGGCAGATCTGGTCAGCGGTTGGATGAGAGATGCAGTACCCTTTAAATTACTGAACTCCTGCCTTAACCTGGTGCTAGGAGGCTGCAGGAGGTGTGGTCTTGGAGGAGATTAAAAAAAGACAAAGGCCTCCCTAATCACTAAAGATCCCACTGGGCTTCTGGGAAGAGTTGGGGTGTTTGCCTCCGTGTCCCCTCCAAAGCCAGGTAACTGGATTCTGCCTCACTAAATTCCACCAGCTGTTTCAACTGATGGTGGGCACCCTCCAGGTTTCCTGCCCCATATGCGGTGGTGTAGCTCTCAGTGGTGAGTGAAGTCGTTCCTGCTGCCAGTTTTGAGGTGGGAGGAGGTGTTACACTTCATCCTTGGAAACATCTGGTCCTGGCCACTGTCAGGGATAGGATACCGGACTGAATGGGCTACTGGTCTAATCCATTCTGGCAGCTTTCCTTGATACCCCATGTAGTTTGGTCAAAGAAACAGATGGAGACCAAAGTGTCTGTGCTTCTGTATTATGTCTAGGACCCCCCAGACAGGGATTGTCCTGGGTCCTGTGGGAGGGAAGGGTGGGTGCACAACACACAGTTATATCAGACGTTTGATGACAGAAGCTGGCAAGTGACCCACAGCTACATGCTGCAGAGGAAGGTGAAAAACTCCCAAGGTCACTGCCCATCTGACCTGGGGGGAAATTCCTTCCCAACCCCACATATGGCGACCTGCTAGACCCTGAGCATGGGAGCACCAACCAGCCAGCCAGCCAAGCCCCTGAGAGAGAGGGAGAGAGCTCTGTGCCACCTCAGAGCCCTGGCCCTCCCTGCCAATGTCCCTTCTCCAGCCAAGGCCTAGACTTTTGAGAAACTTTGTGGTAAGCTCACAGAAGGCTCTGGGAGGAAGAGAACCATGACTTTCTCATCGCTCTATAGGAAGACTAGGCCTCCTTTGGTCTCACATCAGCATGAAACAATCTACAACATCTTTGCTGATTGTCACCCAATACTGAGCTAACCATTGATCTGAATAATGCCGTTCCCTGTACTACAGACCTAGGACTTACAGGTGGCAGTGTGGCAACAGACTCCTGAAATAATGGATCTCCATTCTCCCAGAGCATAGGAGCAATTGCACAAGAGCTTCCTAGATCTGAGACCCGGCACAAACTGGCATTGCAAAGGCACTGCAGAGAAACAACAGCCAGCAATCCGAGAAAGAATAGAGCTGAACACAGGGGAGGGTGGTAACAACAATGGGAGTGAATGAATAATTCAAACTCAGTAAAGAATGGGTTTAAAGTACAAAGGCAGCATAGCCTATGGAAGAAACAAAGGGCTGTGAACCAATGGGTCATCACTGGCTCTGCCAGTGACTTGCTAAGCGACCTTGGGCAAATCATTTGACTTTATTGTGTCTCAATTTCCCCATTGGTAAGATGGGGTCTGTCTCTCAGGGTCATTACTTGGTTGATCCCTGTGTGAAGCAAGTGCTAAATATTACTAGGAGGTTGCAGATGTCCTAGCAAACAAACCCACCTGCTCCTAAGAGAGATGCGGGAAGGGCCCAGTCATACTAAGGTATGTCTACACAGGATAGTTCAGTGGTTTGAGCATTGGCCTGCTAAACCCAGGGTTGTGAGTTCAATCCTTAAGAGGGCCACTTAGGGATCTGGGGCAAAATCAGTACTTGGTCCTGTTAGTGAAGGCAGGGGGCTGGACTCGATGATCTTTCGGGGTCCCTTCCAGCTCTATGAGATAGGTAGGTATATCTCTGAAGCCTAGGGAGGAAGTTGGGCTTCAGAGCCAGAGCTGCAACTCCACAGTAGAGCACTAGTAGGAGCCCCTGGGCAGGGGCTCTGTTGATGTGGGCTGGGAGGCTCGCTGCCATGGGCTGTGTAGATAAACCCCAAGAGGCCACGTATCTCCCAAGATGGGATGCATCTACAACTCCCCTCAGAGCCAGGGGGAACTGAGGACTTTCAGGGCTTGCAGAATCAACTTCTAACCTAGGTAGCTGATGACGAGGCTGAGGTAAGAAACCGGAGTCTTTTAAACAGCGGAAAGCAAAATGCTTTCACTGGCCTCTGCATCTTCGTTAACCACAGGAGGAAGAGCTGCTTGTCTGCGATTGCTCTAGCACATCACTCCTGGCTCTGAATTTACTCTTTCCTTCCCTGTCTTCAGCAGGCAGCATCTCTGAGTTCAAAGCATAAGTCAGCTCTGACACTTAGAAAAGTATAATAAATTTCAGCCCGCTTCAGTCAAATGTATCCTGTAGGTGAGCTCAGTTCTTTGCTCTGTAGCCTTCTGTCAGGGAACAGCTGGGCCAAATTTATCACAGACACAGCTGTACTTTTTTAAAATTCACATTAAGTAAGCTTTAGCCCACAATTAAGAGGCATGTATGAGCTATGCATGGCTCGTTGCTGACTGTGTCCTCGTCCCCTGCAAGCGAGAGAGGCTATTTGTAAAGAAATAACTAAAAATAAACCAGACATTGTGATAAACCAAGCACAAGTTAACTGTCTTTAACTTCATTCACCTGGTTTCTATTTCTTGCTTTTATACTAACTTGCTATGTGACTTGGGGTTTGTCACGTAAGCCAAGAAACTCAAAGGTCTTTAGGTGCCTCTCACTGATTTCAGGTATCAGAGGGGTAGCCATGTTAGTCTGAATCTGTAAAAAGCAACAGAGGGTCCTGTGGCACCTTTAAGACTAACAGAAGTATTGGGAGCATAAGCTTTCGTGGGTAAGAACCTCACTTCTTCAGATGCAAGGTCTTTTGCTTCTGTTTGCAACCTCTGTTGCTTTTCACTGATTTCAGTGGGAATTAGGGACATAAAGACCTTTGAGCATCTGGACCTTAACTTTTTTTTTATGCCTCAGTTTATCCATCTGTGCAAGGCTTAATAAGGTTTGTCAAATGCTTTGGGATTCATGGGTGAGAGAGGCTATAGCAGTGCAATGTATTATGTTAAAACTTGGAGACCATTTTCAAACTTTATTTCCAGGACAAATGTACATTACCTGGGAACCCCTCTTAATGGCAACCATTAAAATTGTGCTTCCTCCTTCTCTAGGTAAACAGGTGAAGGTAGCAGCTGTTTTGAGTCTTCCCTTCATTTTCCAGGTAAGAAGTTAAAAACAAAAAAGGGACTTGGTTGAAATCTCGCTGTGTTCATGCACTGAATGTAGAGGTGACGGTCCGGATAACTTCGATAGATAAAGCAGCAGCAAAAGTGATTCTGATAGAAACTACTTTTCATATTAGAATCCTAAAGGGTTGTCAGGTGGCCACCTAGAGCAAAGTGGGGAGAATTCACAGAACAACTATCTGAATTGTTATCCGTCCAGGGCCAGTGAGATCTATGGAAAGAAAGAAAGAACTAAAGATCATGAACGTAATGCAAAGTGACCATTAAGGCTGGGATGTCCAGAAGGGCTTCCATACCGACAGCCTTGCTCCCATTTCAGCACCTAACAAATGGCCAGGTTTCCCACCTGTTGGGTGCTGAGCTCTTTGGAAAAATCTGGTCATAGTGACCTGATACTGCAGCCTTTGCTCATGTGAGAAAGGGCTGCAGGATTGGGGCCTGATCAGTTGCAGGAGGAGGAAGAGTTCCTCATCTGCCATGAACGCCTCCTTCATTCTCTTCCTCCAGTTCCGAGTAAAACTAGAGCTGGAAAAGAGAAACGTAAAAGAATCTAGCATTACTGAACTGTCCATTCTGACCTGCTAGTGAACTCTGTGCCAGGACCAGCAGTACTCTAGGACTGCTGCATCTTTGGGAGCATGCCTCATCCGCCCCACAGTATCACTCTGCAAGGGGCTCTGTGAAACAAGGAAGGTTTTGCGGTGGGTTTCTTTCCCCTTTCACTCCAGGTGGCAGGGCTTCAGATTATGTGCAGGATGTGGTGAAAGCCAAGCCTGGCGGCAACGAAGAATATGCTAAGATTCATGGCGATAAGACAGGCAGATGCCACCCCGAGGGGAAGCCTTTCATCTTTGCATACAGCAGAGAGGAAGGGAGGGTAATAGAGACTAATGGCACAGATTAAAGCACGGTGCAGCTATCACAAACTCACGCTGCTCTTTAGGCTACTCTAGTCTGGCAAGTTGAGAGAGAAGCAACAGAACTTGAGTTAAGCAGCAGGAGACTGCATGAGAAAGTGTCTCTCATTTCCTGGCAGCTTCACTCACTGGATTTTGTCTGGGCTGTAGTGCCCCTCTCTTATTTTATTACAGAAAGTCATTGAGGTGGGGAGCCCCAGTCATGTCATCCCCCAGGGGCCCTGTCCACAACCACACCAAAGTTCTTCAGTTCTGCTACTTCACAGGCTTACTCATAACAGGGAGAGCAAGGGTAGCAATAGTTTTATGCAAGTTCTCTGGCCTGTGTTACCCAGGAGGTCTGATTAGAGGACAGTGCCCCCATCTAGCCCTGGGATCTAGGAGAGCCAGAAAGCATCTAAGGAGAGCTGGGCTTCCAATGCTGTCTCAGTGTTGGCTACTCTCACCGTTCTATCACGAAGCTCACGGCTCCGGCATCATGGAATTGTGTGAGCATTTCCGTTTTCGTTTTTAAAAAGCCAATGTTTGTAATCCTTCTGGCTGGTGAGGAAAGCTTGAAAATGTGAGCCTTCAAGGCTCCAAAAACCAGAAATCAAATAAGAACCTTAATTCCTCCCCACCCCCCCAAATTGAAGCCAATCTCATGACTTTGGGGGGACCTGACTCAATTTTTGAACACTTGTGATTGGCAATGCCGCCATGTCTCCATTCCATATCATGAAGTGACTGTGGTTCATTCAAATGTTGCTTTGTAATTCAATCGATGGGCACGCTGGCATTTCTACAATACACTCCATTTTAGTGAGATGACTAGAGGGCCATTGACATTCGGTCCCAGCAGAGCGAGGAGTCTAGTAGTTCAAAGCGCACCTGCACACAGATTAAATTAAAAAAACACACCAACATTTTAATACACCATGGGCTGAAACTTTAAAAAAAATCTTCCAGGCAGCACCTCTGAGTGGAGCACTTGAAACAAGAGCCTCTTTAAGGAAGGAGCTGTAGGCAGTGCCAGTCTGACCGTCTCACCTGAATATCTATAAGGAATCCAACTCCCTCTTCAGCATCCAGCTGCTTTCTTGGTCAAGGGAAGCTTTGGCCAGCTTGTCTGAACTAATGCCACTCCTCAGGTCTTTCTGCAAATTCACCTCGTGCCAGCAGGTCTTCTGCTCAGGAGGGCAACATTCCCATTGGTGCAGAGGCCACACTGATATTAGCAACTGACTGCCTTCAAAGGAGGTGGATGAAACCACACGTCCGCAACTGATTCAGGGCTCTCAGCCCTGGCACATGGGGCTGGAAGCCTCACAGGATCCGTTTCGCTCTTGCTTCCCCCTTGCAGAGTTGCCTGTCGATGAAGTGTTACGCCAACCAAAGTTTGAACTGCTCAAATTAAGGTTCAGTTTTGTTTGGCCTTTAGGGACCTGTCAAGGTCAGTTCTAATTTTATCCAAAAGTCTATCCCTTGGGGGGGGGTCTCTGAAGAACCTACAGGACACTTTGAGAACAGGGATGTTGATGTTTCCTGACTAGGCTCACTTGGGTCATTACATTCCATGTACAGCAGGGGTTCTCAAGCTGGGGGTGGGGACCCCTCAGGGGGTTGTGAGGTTATTACATGGGGGGTTGTGAGCTGTCAGCCCCCCCCCAGACCCCACTTTGCATCCAGCATTTATAATGGTGTTAACTATCTTAAAAAATGTTTTTAATTAATAAGGGGGGTGTCGCACTCAGAGGCTTGCAATGTGAAAGGGGTCACCAGTACAAAAGTTTGAGAATCACTGATTTCTACCCTGACGTGTTGCTGTGTGTTTCATGATACCGCTTCTGTTTCTCCCCTGAAGCATAGTGGCCTTTGAACCTTCTTTTGGAGATTCTTAGTGATGAAACTGCTAAACGAGAGTGATTTCTTGCTTTACCTCCTGCAATCATTCTAGTTGAGTAGTTTCATCACTAAGAATCCCCCAAAAGTTCAAAAGCCACTATATAATTTTAATTGGATGTATTTATGGTTGTGCCTAGGGTCCCCATCCTGGATCATGGCCCCGTGTATAAAAGCCAGCTATTATTAAATGGCACCGCTCTGTCTGTTCCATGTCATTTGTTATTCCCAGCATTTATATGCACTTCCCATTATCTTAAGGGAAGGGGTGTGGGTGAACATTCAAGGAGGAAAGGCAGAAAATTCTTTGTGACCAGAGCTTGTCAGGAAACATTTTTGTTCCAATAAGTATGAATTTTTTTTTTTTTGAGGTTTCTGGTTTTTCTACAAAAACATGAAAAAATTTTAGTTAAACTCCAGCATTTCCTATAGAATTTCCATTTTTCATCAAAAAAAAAAATGGACTGAAAAGCTCTGACCAGCTCTGCTCATGATGCTGGCCAGGGAAAGGCTTGGAAGTGATCTGGGATTTCTCTGCTTTTGGAGGGTTGGTGGTTTTACTCACTCTACATTCCCAGTTCAGGCCTGGCTCCTGCAATGAGTTATTTACCAGGGATCTGCCTCATTGCAGGGTAAGGCCTTGAGCATGTTTGTTTCCTTCCCCTTCTAGTTGTGCACAGGCAACAATGTCACTGACTACTATGACGCCAACATCACTGTTGATTACAACATGTTTGAGACTCTCTGTGAGAAGGCTGAGGTCCGGAGCTTCCGCGCCGCATTCCTCCCAGCTATGTACTCACTCATCTGCTTCGTTGGGCTCCTGGGGAACGGCCTGGTGATGCTAACCTACGTCTACTTCAAGAGGCTCAAGACAATGACTGACATCTACCTGCTGAACCTGGCCTTAGCGGACATCCTCTTCCTGCTGACGCTCCCCTTCTGGGCCACGAGCGCAGCCAAGTACTGGCTTTTTGGGGAGTTTGCCTGCAAAGCCGTCTACTGCATCTGCAAGATGAGCTTCTTCAGCGGGATGCTGCTGCTCCTGGCCATCAGCATTGACAGGTACTTCTCCATTGTCCAGGCCGCCTCCGCCCACCGTCTCCGCTCCCGCATGATCTTCATCAGCAAGATCACGTGCTTCTCCATCTGGATCCTGGCCTTTGTCCTCTCCATCCCAGAACTGGTCCACAGTGGAGTGAACGCATCCGAGACCCCCCGCTGCTCCATCATCGCCACCACCGACTTGCACAAGTTCGACACTGGCATCAAAGTGTCCCAGATGGTCTTTGGCTTCCTAGTACCCCTGTTGGTCATGTCCTTCTGCTACTTTGTCATCGTCAAGACCTTGCTCCAGGCCCGTAACTTTGAGAAGAACAAGGCCATCAAGGTCATCATCGCTGTGGTGATAGTCTTCGTCGTCTTCCAGCTGCCTTACAATGGCGTCATGTTGGCCAAGACCATCTCCGCTTTCAACAATACTGACAGCCTGTGCGAGAAGAGTAAGCAGCTTGACGTGGCAGACGACGTGACCTACACTCTGGCCTGCTTCCGCTGCTGCCTCAACCCCTTCCTCTATGCCTTCATTGGCGTCAAGTTCCGCAACGACCTCTTCAAGCTTCTCAAGGAGCTGGGTTGCCTGAGCCAGGAGCGGCTCTGGCATCTGTCGAGCTGCAGGGAGAACAGGCGGTTCTCCTTTGCTATGGAGACCGAGACCACCACCACTTTCTCACCGTGAGGGGTGGGTTCTGTGCCTGCTTTGACTGGGCCAAGGCTGGGGTATTCCTGCATCTTGCAGCCATCTTGAATTACTGATTTGAGCAGGGCCAGCTTCACCTTGGCCAGAGAGCTGTATCAGTGCAGAACAAAACCTGTTAACTCCCCCACGTTTCAGGAAAGGCAGGTAGGTATACAGTACTCCATGTGGGAGAGACTCAGCTAAGGTTACAACAAAGTACTAAACTGGGGAGCAATTAGACCTCGTGTTAATTGTTCCATTTCCCCTCAATTCCATTTGGGCATCATTCCTCATTGCTCCAATATGAAAACCCTTTTTCTTATTGGTGTTACAGCTGAGCTCTCCGGAGCACCTCCTTGCTTTGAATGCCGCATTTAACAAGACTGCATTTTGCTCTTTCTTGCACACACAAACTTTGTAGCACTGATCCAGCTAGTAAGACAGAATGGGACCAAGCCGTGCCTCAGACTCCAAGCTCAGCACAATACATGGTATAAGCTAGCATTGACTTCTGATTCTTGATTAGGCTTCAGTTGCTTGAATGCTGGAATGAATCAGTAGCCCTAGCATGCAACTCCCAGTTCTCTCCAAAAGTCAGATTTGCATAATTAACCCTAAAACTACAGATTTTTAAAATGAATAAGTTTGATAACAGTCACTGTTAATGCAAAATCTCAAAAGTTTGCTGGGGGAAACAATGGCTTTCAATTCACTTTGCTTGTGCTGAGATTTCGGGTTTTGCCTATAAAGTTCCATATGGTTTAGAGCAGGGGTTCTCAAACTGGGAGTCGGGACCCCCAGGGGGTCGCAAGGTTATTACATGGGGGGTTGCGAGATGTCAGCCTCCACCCCAAACCCCGCTTTGCCTCCTGCATTTATAATGGTGTTAAATATATTTAAAAGTGTTTTTAATGTATAAGGGGAGTTGCACTCAGAGATTGCTGTGTGAAAGGGGTCACCAGTACAAAAGTCTGGGAACCCCTGGTTTAGGGCTTGTGCATCATTGGAGGCAGCCTCTTCACTATGGCAGAGAATTAAGCTAAACTTCACCAAGGCCACTTCAGGACTGAATGAGAGGGTTTGTCTACAAGGGGACACTCCAGATAAATAATCCAAATTAACTAACAGTGTGAATTTTAAAGTGGATTAGTTAAACCACATTAAATCCCTGTGTGGACACTTCAAAATTAAAGTGGCCTTAATTTGATTTAATTCATTAATGAAGTTGAACTAATGTGCTTTAAATTCACATCTTTAGTTCATTTGGATTTACTTTTCTGAGCGTCCCTGCGTAGACAAGCCCTCAGTGTTTGTAAACTACCAGTTGAGAACATCTGGGGCATTACTGCATGATCCTGAAAATGGCAAAGTACTCTGGCCCCAATCTAGCATGATACTTAAGCATGTATTTAATTTTAAGCACCCCGGCTAGTCCCCAGCGCCTGCCGTCCCAGTGAAGTCAAATAGGATTACTCACATGCTTGACTTCAAGCACACGTGTAATAAGCATTTCGCTAGACGGGGCCAAAGTGTTTAGCAGGAATGAGCCCAGGGCCCCTATAGCTCTAGAATATATATTTCTCAGTGGAGGGCTCTGACCTGGAATTTGTTTCTGACCTTGGTTTGACAGCTCATGGACGCCAGTCTTTGGAGCCTGTCAAAGGCTGCTCAGGCTTTTCATGAGAGGGGAGGCAGGTTTTCCTCAAGGAGCAGCGTTTTTTGTTCTCACTTGCTGACCTCAGTTTAATAGAGGAACATGTAGATGTGAGTTCCCCACCCAAGCTCACTTGTCCCTCGGAGAAGCTGTAACAGGTGCCTTTTGAGAACGCAAGGGAAATTTAAAAAAAAATAAACCTCCATAAACTCCTGGAAGTGCCTCTGACGTTCAGACAGTCAGTGCTATTAACGGTGTTCCTCGGTACAGTTGGATTTAAAAGTGACAGCCAGCCATGCAACCGATTACTGTCACGTAAACTAAGACATGGAAAAGAAGCCCAGAGTGTAATGCCCATTGGTGCATTTAGTGGAAACCTGAGGGACTCAAACTTGTGGAGGAACATCCTGGGAATTGCTGCCATGGGATGGCTGAATGTCAGTTGAGTGGGCGTCTCCGTAATTCAATCTGCCATTGCAGCTGTTCTGACTACAGAGCTGTAATCACTAAAGCACACAGAGACAGGTCTCCCTTGAACCAGATACCAAGGGCAAAAGGTCCTGGCAGTACCCCAGCGTCTGTGGCAGGGGACATTTTACGACATCCAAGTGACACAGAAGGAAGCTCCTAACTCCCATCCTCTTGGCACACTAAACACAAATTCTGCTCTCCCTGCCACGAAGCCGAACGGCCTCTAACTGACCCTTCCCTACCTGCTACACAATAGTCCCCTATAAAAATAACCCTCTTGGAAGCTTTTGATCGGGGGCAAGAGAGTCCAGTAAAGGACGCACTGCCTTAAAGGAGAAAACATTCTGCTCTGCAAAGTTGATGTATTTAGGATTATACAATCCTAGCTGATTGTTTAGAGTGTTTCATGGTGCCCATGTCTCTTGTACGAGCGCTGCTTTCTTACAACCCCTAAGTAACGGGGGCTGTGAACTACCCCACTGGAGATTTAGTTTTTTTGGTTTGATCCAGCACTCCTCATTCAGGAAAGCTACCAATCATCTCTCAACGTGTTTGCCAGAGCAAGGAATTCGTCTAATACAGGGTCTTATTTTGGTGCATCAATAGGATAGACTTGTACTGTATATTCAGATATATAAAGTTGCTGTATGTAGAACAAGAGGTGAATTTGTACATGAATGTATTCTGTAAGGCTGTACTGCCCAGAAACAGGGTTTGTCTATACAAACAATTCATTTATGGGAACCTGGGGTGTGAATCTCCCCTGCACTAATCTGTTGTGGACTAATTTGTTCAAGTACACTCTGCTGATTTGCATTAACAGTTTGTTAATATGCTTTGATCTAATCCTCTTTGAAATGGGACTAGATCAAAGCACATTAACAAATGGTTAACATGCACTAGCAAGGCCTACGCCAACAGTCAGTCTGTGGCAGACAAGTGCCGGGTAGAGTCACGCTACAGTTTGCTGCAAACCATTTGTGGAGACAAACCCTAAGCTTTTTCTGGCTAAACATGTTCAAGCTAATTCATTTTTCATTTTAAAAAACCAACCAAACAAAAATTATTTCACCAAGAAAATGCAATTGTAATTTTATCAAGTCTTATAAGAACAACATATGAATGGCCATATGGGGTCAAACGAATGGTCCATCTAGCCCAGTGCCAGAGGGAGTGAACAGAACAGAGCAATTGAGTGATCCATCCTCTGTCATCCAGTCCCAGCTTCTAGCAGTTGGAGGTCTATGGAAACCCAGAGCATGGGGATGCATCCCTGACCATCTTGGCTTATAGCCACTGATGGACCTATCCTCCATGAACTTACCTAATTCTTTTTTGAGCCCAGTTATATTTTGGCTGTCACAACATTCACTGAAATGTGTTCCACAGGTTGACTGTGCATTGTGTGAAGAAATACTTCCTCTTATTTGTTTGAAAGGTACATCCTATTAATTTCATTGTGTTAAGTAAAGGGGTAAATAACACTTCCCTATTCACTTTCTCCACATCATGCATAATTTTATAGATCTATCATATCCCCTCTTAGTCATCTCTTTTCTATGCTGATTAGGCCCAGTCTTAATCTCTCCTCAGCTGAAAGCCATTCCATACCCATACTCATTTTGTTGCCCTTCTCTGTACATTTTCCAGTTCTAATATATGTTTTTTGAGATAGGGCAATCAGAACTGCACGTAGTATTCAAGTTGTGGGCAAACCAGGGTTATATAGTGGCATTATGATATTTTCTGTCTTATCTATCCTTTTCCTAATGGTTCCAAACATTGTTCCATTTTTTGACTGCCATTGCATGTTGAGTATCAGAGGGGTAGCCATGTTAGTCTGGATCTGTAAAAAGCAACAGAGTCTCGTGTGGCACCTTTAAGACTAAACAGATGTATTGGAGCATAAACTTTCATGGGTGAATGTCATATGCATCCGACGAAGTGGGCATTCACCCATGAAAGGTTATGCTCCAATACATCTGTTTAGTCTTAAAGGCACCACAGGACTCTCTGTTGCTTATTGCATGTTGAGTACATGTTTTCAGAGAACTTTCGGTGATGACGCCAAGATCTCGCTCTTGAATGGTAACAGCTAATTTAGACCCCATTATTTTGTATCTATGCTTAGGACTATGTTTTCCAATGTGCATTACCTTTCATTTATCAACACTGAATTTCCATCTGCCATTTTCCTGCCCAGTTGTCCAGTTTTGTGAGATCCCTTTGTAGCTCTTCACATCAGCTTTAGACTTAACTCTGTATCACCTGCAAACTTTGCCATCTCGCTGTTTACTCCTTGAATGTACGTTGAACAGCACTGGTCCCAGTACAGATCCTTGGGGGACCCCACTATCTACCTCTTTCCATTGTGAAAACGGACCATGTATTCCTACTGTTTGCTTCCTTACTTTGCTTAAGAGCCTTTATTGAGGGACCTTGTCAAAGGCTTTCTGAAAGTCCAACTACCCTGTATCCACTCGATTGCCCTTGTCCGCATGTTTGTGAACACCCTCAAAGAATTCTAGTGGATTTGTAAAGGAAAATCCTGCCTCACCAAAGCCATGTTGATTCTCAATCCTCATTCCATCCTCTGAAATAAGGACACACTTCAAGCCTTTATGGCATCAGTGCCTACATTAGACAGATTATTAAAGGAATATTAACAGAATGCTGGGTAAAGTTACACACAAGTTATATAGATACAGAAGAGCCAGATACTTAAACATTTGGCCCAAGATTTTTTGAAAGTTGGGGCCTTAAGTCCACTTTAGGCATTTGGTAAGTCAGGCCACGTGTCCAGCTCTCATAAAGCTGAGTACAAAATCTCGATAATACAGGGCTCTTCAATCTACCAGACAAAGGTCTAACAAGATTCACTGGCTGGAAGTTGAAGCTAGACAAACTAAACTGTACATTGAGAGTAATTAACCACTGGATCAACTCACCAAGGGCTGTGGATTCTCCATCACTGGAAATTTTTACATCAAGAGTGGATTTTCCTTCTAAAAGATCTGCTCAATTTCAAAGAGGAATTAATGCAGACGAGTCCTGTGGCCTCTGTCACACTAGGTCAGGGGTTCTTAAACTGCATTGCACTGCGACCCCCTTCTGACAACAAAAATCACTACGTGACCCCAGGAGGGGGGGGGGGGGAGTCAAAGCCGAGCTCACCTGAGCCCTGTCGCCCCAGGTGGCGGGGCCAAAGGCCAAGGGTTTCAGCCCAGGCAGAGAGCCTGTAACCTGAGTCCCACCGCCCAGGGCTGAAGCCCTTGGGCTTCAGCTTTGGCCCCAGGCTCCAGCAAGTCTAAGACAGCCCTGGTGACCCCATTAAAACGGGGCTGTGACCCACTTTGGGATCCTGACCCACAGTTTGAGAACCGCTGCACTAGGTAAGCAAAGTGGCTCCTTCTGATTTGAGACTCAAGAATCAAATGCACCTTCCATAGAAGATACTGTCACTCTCAATGTACCTAGTTACTCAAAAAAACCCACAAAAACAGGCCACTTACTTAGGTGTCTAACTTTAGGGCCCCGATAGAATCACAGCGATGTCAGGCTGGAAAGGACCTCAGGAGATCCTTCATTCCCTGCACTGGGGCAGGCTTACGTCTACCTGCCCAGCCCAGCCCTGACAGATGTTTTTTCTAACATGTTCTTAGTCTCAGTTTTCAGTTTAAAACATGGTTATGTCAAGATGAGTTTTTGCCAGTGGTGCAGAAAGTAACATTACTGTTAACTGAAAAACACACCTTGTTTTTTCCCACCACTGGTATATTTTCCGTGACGTGGAGCTTGTACCGATCATAAAGGTTAATGGTCGATCTTTCTAGTCGTCTAGAGAGATGTTCCTTTGCCCAGCCTAGCTTCACATCAATATTACTCTATAGAAAAAGCTGTGTAAAATATCCTTAATTGGGAATTGATCTGGAGATCTTATTGTCCTTCACCTATAGGTGATAAATACAGTAAAACAAGTTACCGGTGTATTTTAAACAGTGGTGTTTATCCTTATTCTAACCCATAACCCATTTGCCTCAATGCTGCTCACTTACTGTGTAAATATGATGCCCTTTTTTATGACTGCTTACGTAAGAAGGTATTTTGTACTGTTCCTGAATTTTTTTTTATTAAAGATAAACAAAATTGTTAATGAGAAGGTCTTATTTTTTGGTAATTTTGTGGAAGTTGCTCACATGATGAGAGCATTGCTCCTGGCTGGAATTCACCTCCTTTACTTTTTTTTTTTTTAATTCCTAGAAACTATCAGACTAGTTGTCTAACTATTTTAGTCTCCTATCTCTGATGTTGGCCAGTGCCAGATATCAGAGAGGAAGGTACAAAACAAAAATACCCCATGATGGACAGCTATCCCACAATCTATACACAGAGGGAAATTATTCCTAACCTCCATGGTTGGCTTATTATCTGAAGCATGAGGGTTGATATCCATTATAAAAATTGTCTTATAATTTAACTATGGCAGTTTTATCCTGGGATATTTTTAACCCTTAACCACATCAACAATCCTGTAACGACATGACAACAGTTAAATCAGAAGGAGTTACTGCTGTTGTAAAATGAAATTGGCCTGTGACATGCATGGGATCAAACAATAAACAAGCAGAAAGATGCTTCTCAGTCCAACAGCCTTTATTATTTTACAAGTGAAAATAACCTAAGACATTTAAAAAGACCAACCACATCTTATAAAATATTCAGTTACAGACACACCTCAGCAAAAAAGATGATTAACCAACACAGCCTAAAAAAATCAAAGGGCCATGAACAAAACTAGGCTTAAATATTTTTTCTTTAAAATTGCTTTTTTGTAATTGGCATCCCATCAACTAACTAACATTTTAACCATGAATTAAGGTGCTTGACTACAGACATGTAGCGATATCTGGAACTGAACATGTGACGCATTGTGCGAGCATGCTGTGCACTTGCAAAGTCGCGGCTGGATTCTGATCTCTGATGCACAGGACCGCATCACCAGAATCTGCTGGCAGAGACACAGCAGCAGTATTTGTAATTTTGTGGGACACTGAGTGATGCTTGACAGGCATGAGACACCAGGCTCTGGCCCAGTTTTGGGCTGTCAAAGGGCACACACTTGGCCACTCTGCAAAGAGCCATTTCACTAATGGTGAACTCCTCATGTTGGACTAACATGATGCAAGGTCTTTTCACTTACCAGGGACAACCACAGCTTCCAATTCGTCTTATAAAATACAGACTGCTCCTGAAACACAGAGTGGTCTCCATCCCTTGTTAGCAAGCCAATCTCAAGTCACTGAAATAACTGGGTGACATGGTCAGAGCAAAACTGTATATTGGGAGCAGTAGCAATGGAGAGAGAAGTGAATGAAAGATCTGTAAACAAGTAACAAGAATGCAGCGATAGAAATGGCTGGATTCCCGATTGCAGAGCACATGTGGATTCCTGTTAGAGGCATGAGTTTGCTTTGGTCAACTACAAGCATAAAAAGCAACTTTTTTGTTTTGTTTTGTACTTAAACGCATTCTCTTCTAAATCCCCGGTCAACAAGCTCACTGCCAGCTGCTCCTGGGCAGGTAGCAAGCGGGATGAACACAAGGCCAAACAAAAATATCCTTTATGCCATCAACAACAAACAGAGCAGGTCAGGTGAGAGGCACAGTTAGCATCCTGAGGTGCGTGGAATCAGGGGAACAAAGCCTCCGGCGACACCAGAGACCCCTCTCTCGCGCTCTCTCACACACCTAGGCTTCAGCGCCTAGAGAATAAGGCTCATTTCGGCTTTCACCAAGCAACGCAAGTTACTAGTGGTTCCTCTCTAGAGCTAAAGTATTCAACCAGTTTCAAAGTCAGCCCACATTTCAGGTAGCAATAAGAGATATCTAAAGGGTGCAACACCACCACCACCACACTGAGGTCACGAGTCTACAGGTAGAGGGTTTTTAATACATCTCAGGCCAAATTTACCAACTAGTTAAGAAGGGGCAACTCTACTGCATAGAAAGCACTGATATACTAATTTCTTAATTTGCAATTA